ATCTTTTATAAAAAAATTTACCAAACAACTTTTTACTCTGCAAGTACTTTTATAAAAAATTTTACCAAACACTCTTAACTTCTCAAAAACAGCACTTCCACAACAGATTCCCTCTAACAGCACTTCTATTAAAAGCTCCAGCCACACCAAACAGGCTCTAAGGCCTAATATCCTAGCTGTGGACTGGTTTCATGCATGAATGAATAAGTAACAGAAAAAAATTAACCCCTGCAAAATCCATTGCTTTGTCTGCTATTGTTGCAGCATACTTCTCTGAGTCCTGATGGGAAGCTTCTAACAATAGTTGGAGACAACCCTGAGGGGATGTTGGTGGACTCCAGATCTGGAAAGGTACTTCTCTGCATTCATTTTTGTTGATTAATAAATGTTAACACTATAATGCACTTATCTGAAGGCTGGATAGGCTAGCGGCTGATGAGGAAGGCCTTCAGGCCAACTGGCCAAAACTCTAAATGTAAAAGGCTTCCTCACCCATTGGTGATGGTTTGAACCTATATAGCCTCCCTCCTCCCTCTTTCCCCCACAAGTTGAACCACTTGTCCTATCCTATCAAAAGAAATAGGCTAGCATCTGATATCTGCCTGTCTGGAATCATAACCTTTGCAGACTGTGACATCATTGCATGGACACTTGGATTACTCCTTTGCCTCAGCTTGGCACCCCAATGGTGTTACATTTGCTACAGGAAACCAAGACAAAACTTGTCGAGTTTGGGATGTTCGAAACTTATCAAAGTCAATTGCTGTCTTAAGGGGTAACCTCGGAGCTATCAGGTCCATCCGCTACACGTCAGATGGTCAGTATATGGCAATTGCTGAGCCTGCTGATTTTGTACACATCTATGATGTTAAAAGTGATTATGGGAAGGAGCAAGAAATCGATTTCTTTGGTGAGATATCTGGCATTTCGTTTAGCCCTGACACAGAGTCTCTGTTTATTGGAGTGTGGGATCGAACATATGGTAGCCTTCTCGAGTATGGGCGTCGGAGGAACTACTCATACCTTGATTCCCTTATCTGAGTCAGTATGCGAGAGATAACACAATAAATGGTGTTGTTTACTATGTGCAAATTGAGGAGCTTTAGAGGAGAAAACGCCAAGCAGGAGAAAAAATGGTGGAGATGTAAATGTAATGTGTTGTGAGATTGTAGGTTGGTGTGGTCCTCTCCTCTCATCATAAAAGATGTGTTAAAAGAAGGGGGGAGGGGATGTACAGAAGAAGGCAAGCTAGAAAGCAGCTCTATTGAGACCAAGAAAGAACCAAAAAGAACCAGAACAATCGTTTATCTATTTCGGGAGCGGGACAATCTTGTGAATTTTCATTTGCTTTGCTTTGCTCTGTTTCTGGTCTCTACTTGTCGTTGAGGATTCTTAAATTTAAGCTATGCAATGTTGATTTACTTGAGAAGATAAGACGTTTTTCTCTCAAACACTGGCCTGAGCCAAGCATCGTGTGCAATATGGAGTTCTAGTGTTGCATGAATTTTTTGTTGGGACTCCAAATAATAATTTTACGGGAGTTGTGAGTCAAACCTTAAAGACTCTGACTTTCATTGTTGAAATGCATGAATGGAAAACACAACCTTTTGATTTGGAGACAAATTCCTCTCGTCTGACAATGTAAGGCCAAGAATTATTTTTCCATAAACAGACAATGGAAGAATGCAAAGTCACAGCTGAAAATCTTCCTTTCCGTCCCCATGATCTCTCAACAATTACATTTTTTAGTATCATGTTTTCCACAATCCAACCCATCTATCCATGGCAAGCACCCCCCACTGCCGTCTCTTTCCAAGGCCTTAGACCCCTGAACAGGGGGGGCGGCTGTTTTCTCAAGAAGGTGATGACCCCGGCCACCACTAGAACTAGAAATGAATCCACCGGGGCCAGGGGCAGGCTTGTGTCAAGGCAGAGCTCAATACTCAACTGGTGATCAGCCTGAGTACCGGCCTCTCCCTCTTCTTGGGCAGGTTCGTGTTCTTCAACTTCCAGAGAGAGAACATTGCCAAACAGGGGTTGCCGGAGCAGAACGGGAAGACCCACTTTGAGGCAGGCGACACCCGTCCAAAGGAGTACGTCAGCCTTCTCAAGTCCAATGATCCAGTGGGATTCAACATCGTTGATGTCCTTGCGTGGGGATCAATAGGCCATATTGTTGCCTATTACATCTTGGCCACATCCAGCAATGGCTATGATCACAAGTTCTTTTAACTTCCATTTAATTATCATGAATTGCATGCTGAAATTATTATGTTAGGGGATGTGAAAATATTTAATTTATTGGTTGGAAATGGCCATATATTTTTTTTTTGAACAAATTTGCAAGGAGTCGGATTTAAACTATTGCCCTGAAAGAAAAATATATTTATGCGTTATCTGACGCTCTAGACCTAAAACCCAAGTGCTGGAAATGGTCATATTTAACATTTATGTTTGTCCAAATTGATATAAATACGTAAATTTATTATATGCCAGTTATTATTTAAAGGAGCTCCTTAAAATATTTAAATAATTAAAATTTTGACATTTTAAATTAGAAGTTTATATTTAAATCTTGAGTTTGGTAAAAAAAAATATTAAAAAAAAATTATCATTTCTTATCAAACTTATTAAATTAAATATATCAAAAAAAAAAAAGCTACTATCTAAAAGAAAAGGTTTTTTATTAATTAATTAATTAATTAATTTCTTCATGCACCTCTAATTGTAATTTAGTTTAGCAGCTAGTTCATCAATATATATGTATGGAAAATCAAAGGAAAACCAACACAAAAGGCAACCAAGGGTATTCTCAAAACAAATTGACAACGCTTCATTGTTATTTTTTTTTTTAATATTAACCTTTCGTTATCCGGTAACTGACTTGAACTTGAGACTTTACCTAAAGAAAATCTAATTTTTTTTACTCGAACCAACAAGTCGTTAATACAACGGTTCATTAATTTCACAAAAGGCAACAAATTGATACGCGAGAAAGAATGGTGCCTGCCTTAGATTCCGAACAATGAAAAAATACAGATAACTTTCACCTGTTTTCCTTTTCTGGATAGATTCTCCTCCGTGCCCTCCCAGACACTATAAAACCAAAATCTCTGCATTTACCAATCTGTTTTCAGCACTTTCTATATCTTCCCAAACATTGGATTAGTCAGTGGTAAAAAGAAGCTACATCCCCAACTAAACAGGAGGATTCAGAAAAGGGTTTCTAATCAAGTTTAATATTAAATTTATTGCTGAGTTGAAAGCCTACAAGAGCCACAGCCATCATTTACACAGAGATACTAAAACTGTAGCATGTTTCTAGAAGCAAACTAAGATACAATAAAAAAACTAAATAAGAACTTTTCACTAGTTCATAATATATGCATTTGAACCAAGTTTTATGCATTCAACAGGCTATTCTCAAAACATTGACCAGTAAATGTAAATAAGCACCCGCCAAAATTAATACAAAGGTTTACAACTAAAACTGCTTCTTCCTCCAGTGCCCCCCAAACACCCAGCGGACAAAAAAAATATAGGTTTGAGGGCAAGTATAGGAAAAGGCAAATGCAGCAATCACCAATTATGGCATTTGACTCATTGCCTATATATGTTGGAATACACAAAAAGAGACCTAATTTTTTGCAAACTTAAGTGGGTACAACTACCCCTGTATCGGGATATAACCGTGACAGAACCAGCCAAAACACTAACACCAGCAACATCAACTGTATAAAGAAACAAAAAGTAAATTTGCTCACTCTCCTCTGCATCTTCAAAATTTCTTTGGTGCCTGAAATATCACCACAATACATTTCCAATTTCTCTGTTTCTTTCTTTAGCACTGCAGCCTTGTTTTCAGCCTCTCCAAGCTGCCTCAGCACATGCACTTGCTCACCGATCAATGACTTTTGTTCTTGAAAGAACATTCTTTGATCAATTGCAGCAACTCTCAACTTCTCTATGGCACTTATTAAAGCAAGATACTCAATCTCGGTCTCCAACTTCTGCTGAAACAGGCCTTCAAACTCCAATTCCATTTCTCTGAACTTCTCTGCAGTGCTCCCTGAATCTTCCTTTGTTGACTTGCTACTGTTAATGGCAGCTTCCAGCTCAGCAATTCTTGTATCCTTCAGCTCAAGCACAACCTTTGCTTCCTCCAGTCTGCTTTCCAGAGACTTTGCTTTCTGTGTTAAGGTAAACACTTCGATGTCCAGAGAGCTTGAAATATTTTCTCCTATTTTTTCAGAAGCTAACTGATCAGATAAGCTAGGCTCATGAATCTCTGTGAAAGTGGAATCCACGGGAACATTGATAGTGTTAACTGAATTGGCATGTAGAGATACAGGCTCCCTCCCTATCTCCACTAACTTATGAACCTCTGCAATAAGATACACATTGCTTAGTTACTGTAACAAGATTCAATTGCCAATTACACTTTTGGTAGCAAGGCATGAAACAACGCAAAATAAAATGTTAATTCACAAAGTAAATTACAATTACTTTGAGAACATGAATAGCAGGCATCAGTGCCACGACACTGCCTCAACAGCACTATATGATTAAAGTTCCCAACTTCCAATCAGTCACCTGGCGCAACTGACGCAATGCAAACCCATGATGGTAGAGTTGATGGCCCTAGATGTGCAAACTAATTTTGGTGCCAAATTCAAAAACTCCAAGTAAAATGCTTAAATAAGCAGATGAAAAAAATGAAAAATAACTTCCTTTCAGCAATTTTTATCATTTCTGTATTTCCCTTAAGCCCCAACAATTTCATATATACCACAATAAGAAGATCATAGTTGGAAATCTTCTTATTAATATATTTCCAACAAATTTAATGCCTATATTTATTAAAATACTTCACTATTGGAAGACTACTCTGCTGTTATTAGACAGACAAATTCAGCAAGCAAATACAAGTTTGAAAAGCTCAGCTTCCTGATACAATAATATCTGAACATAAAGAATAGTCCAATATCAATTGAAGGAATTATCACCTTTGCAGCTTTGCCTTCATAAGATTGGCAAACTATTAAGAAGGCAAGAAGCTGGCATAATCATGAAATAGATTTAACCCATATAATACAGAATCATTGCTGAGAATGGTCAAATACATAAATTTCAGAAAAACTAAATTATGTACATGCATAAATTCAGGTATTCAGCGAACCAGTAAGATGTAAACAGTACATTGTTGGGTTCACATAAATTTATCATGAAGACTATCATAAGGCTAACACACACCTTTTTCAAGGGATTCCTGCACAGAATGGAGGGCAAGGATAGAGTAAACCAATGGGTCATGAAGCGGTGAGCCTCGATGGTTCTCACTTTTTCCTTCTCTAGCCTTCCCAGATGAGTCTGCAGTTAAATCATCCTGGGAAAGCTCTTCAATTTCCCCTGCATATTCTTTCCTATAAGCAGCTTCCTCACTGAACTGTTGTTCACTTAAATATGCTTCGTTGTTATTCCCCCAATTATAATTCACAGACGTTCTACCCTGCTTTTCATCACTACTAGTTGCAGAAAAAATACCCTGGGCAAATACAAAATTGGAGCTTCCAGAGTTAGATTCAATGCTGGAATGAGAGTTTTCCTTGCCAACTTTGATCCTTTCTCCTCTGTGCTTCGTAGTGCTTTCGGTAATACTTTTTCCTAGTTGAACCCTTTGACGTGAATTACCCACAACTTTTGCAACTAAATTCTTCATCTTGCTGTTCTCCTGAACATACGAAAAAACTGAAGGCGCAGCCTGCCATACCTTTGGCACACTGGCTGCCGTAGAAGATTTGCTACTATGATCCTCACTGTTGTCAGAATCTGAACCGGCAACAGAAGTAGCCCCAACTGCGAACCTAGAATCTAAACTGGAGCCACATTCAACAGCAGTAACAGAAGGTAAATTTTTCAAAACACTTAGGAGGCCACCAAAATCCTCTGCATTTTGCTTGATCTCAGCTGATGAAAAACGTACAGGCTTAGTTGGAGTTGTGGAACCGGACAAGCCACGCTTGAGAACTTTACCACTGTCCTCAGCAGCAGTGGCAACAGCAGCAGGCTCATCCTTTTGAGGACTAGGTCTCTTGATACGCCTCCATGTCTTCAAGCCATACCCTTTTGTTGTGGGAGGCGATTGCCCATCAGGAGATTTTGGAACAATCTCATCAACACCATTACCAGGTGAGAAAGCATTGGGGTTGGGATCAATATCTGAAACAGCCCCAAACTTGGCGGACTCATTATTATCCTGGATGTTGTTGTTAAGATCAAGATGATTTTCCTGGATGTTGTTACGATCAGATTGAGAATGGGCAACAGACCCACTACCCAAATCCATAAGTAGGAATGGAAAATCACAATATGCGTCTCCCTTAAGATTGATTTAGCTAAAATCAAGATCAACAACAATAATAACTATCGTTGCATTGCAGCCAAAATCTGTTCGAATGATATTTGCATCAAATCAGAAGGAAACGAAATTAAAGTCAGCCCATCATTGATATTTCGGTATTTAATTGGATTTGGGAATACAAATCAAAGGATTCAAACTCGACTCGAGTGCTGATCACAAAAGCGAAAAAAATAAAGAATAATTGAATGGGTTTACAAAAGAAAGCAACACAAAAATGAGTCCTTTCTTTTTTTTGTAAAAAAAGGGGGCATCTTTACCTTTTATACAGGGATACGCGTATTTCCTTCTGATAAACGAGTCATCTGAATTGAATTTGAAGCAGAAGCAGATGATAGATAAATGGAAAGTTGCATGGAAACCCTACATTTGCAGTTCCATCATAATAATTGGGAATTATTTTTTTTTTTGGGGGCAATAATAATTGGGAATTTGACGAGTGAGTAAATAGAATAACTATTTCCTTTTTATAAAAATAATTATGCTGCTATTAGCTGCTAAATTTTAAATTTGGTGATGATAAATAAAAACATTCTCTCTCTCTTTCTTTCTTTTTTTTTTTATTTAAAAAAAAATCAGAACCTCTAATCCCAATTAGCCCTCAAATTTTTCCATTAACTTCTTGACTAAGAAAAAAAGAAATGACATAAATATGACTCGCTTTTCCTATTGGGATATGGAGTTGATGTTTCAACAGCGATGATGACATGGAAGCAGACTAAGATGACCCTATGAGAGACAAGGAGGGTCCTTTTAACTTGCATCCATTTCACATGCAAAAGACTATGTACCATGAGTCATCTTTCTCTATCCAATGAAAATGGTTTGCTTCAAGTTCTCTAGTAAATCTAAGAGTATAACTTCCCCAGCCAAGCCAGGAGAGCTGGGTAGTGATGACAAAGTCTCAAGAGCCAAGAATGATTACACAATTATCAAAAATAATGAAAAGGAAATATACATTATGGTAAGAGCTGCAATAATAGAAAATATAAAAAGTAACTTTTACAATTTGAGAAACACATTTATATAAAGTACATTGTAACATAATAATAAACACAATAAATGTGCCATCTACTATCCTTGACACATACTCCTACTTTAAAATGAACAACCCTCATGTTGTGATTCAAAACATGATAATTTTCTTCAAGCTTCCACAAAACAAAAGGAATAAACTTGAAAGTAGTAGAAGGAAGGATGATCGTAATGGGGGCTTTTGAATGGAGGACTTGATCCCACTTGTGGATGCTAACCTTTTCAATTGATCCTTTGATGCTCAAGAAAGACAACCCAAAATCTTAGATTGTAGCATGAAATTCTCTAAATATGACATGCTGTAAGTTTGAAGTGTATTCTATATGGTTGGAAGTGTGAAAAATATGAGGAAAATGAAGATTTTTGAGGAATTTTTGTAGGAGAAGCGAGAGGTTAAACATGAAGAATTCTTTAGAGAAAAGAAAATGGTGTTTTCTATGTGAATAATTTGCTCTTTCCTGTTGTGTGAATGAAAAGATGCCCCAAAAATGAAGAAAAATTATATATATATGCAATGGCATTTCGGTAATTTTGAGTTAGTAGGGCCAAAGTAACCTAGCCTTCCAATAGTTACATTTGGGTTGGGTAAGGATAGGTGTCAAGTTTTAAGTGGATCTAAGCATTGCCAACAACTTTTGGAGTGCAATAATGAATTGTCCAGTGTTTCTAGCAGAGGACTGCTAGTTTCCAGTGGAGAACTATTGGTTCATTGGAGACCTCCATTCTTAGTAACTCCCTATCCATACAAAATACCATATTTGGTGTGCAATTGAGCACTATCTACAATACCACCTTTATCTAAGATTTTGATGATTTCCCCAAGCAAAATATAATCTTTCACTAATTTCCCATGCAGTGAAACTTATGCAGCCATCTATGCATTACACACAACTACAAGTTAGTAATGAAGACTCAAATGGCATCTCTAGTTGATTTTTAATTGGATTCTAGGCCTTCTAGTTAATATCAAATGATGTAGTTTTGGGATCAAGTTTTGCCTCCACATGTTTGTCACCCAGCCCTTCTTAGCAAAGATGTGCAGCATTGCTAGCTCTAAGCTTGGCTAGCACATCTACCTTACTTCACCAACCAGGCAATGTTCATCCATTCATGCCTACGAAACCACTACTCCCATAATTTATTCCAAATAATCCCCATGAACTTGGATTTATGGGTTTGTGTTCATTTGCATCAAAAAGCAAAATATGAATGAGTATTTGTTCAAATATATAAGTGTAAAATATATAAATATGTGTCGTAAAGGAGAACACTCCCTTATGTATTGAAGGGGAGAGGAGAACAAACATTGCTACACCTCTTTGTTTACTAGCCATAGGAGGCACTTGTACAATATTATTTTACAAGTCTAGCGATGTGCCAAGATAGAAGATGAATGATATAAACTTGTGATGCAGTATTGTTTTATCTAGCTAAGCACCAGTAATCAATAATGCTTGCCAACATATAAAAATATAGAAGAAATATGTTATAGATAGGGATTACCAGCGACAGGTAATATTGTCTCTTTATATAGAAAAAATAAGGATGTGCATGACCGCCAACTATGTTAAATATCACTGGGTCAACCAAGAATGGCTTTCTTATAGCTAGAGGAAGTGGGGCCCCATAAGGATCCCCATCCCCGCAAAAAAATTAAAAGAATATATAAATTAGTTTTATTTTAAATTTAATTCAACCTTCAAACCCAAACCCAAACCCAAACCCAAACACAATCCAATAAAAACTTAACTTAACTTAATTTTACCCAACCAAACCCAATTCAACCCATAAAAATTAACCCAACCCATCATCAATAAGTTTGTTGATTTAGCTATTTATGTTAAATTGATTTTTATTTATGTTTGAACAATTTATATTTGATTTATATTTAAAGAATTTTAGTTATTTGTATTTGAATTTTTAGGATTTTATTCATTATAATTGAATATTAATAAATTATATGTAAAAAATTTGTATGTTGATATTAATTGATGAGGAATGGGGATCCTTGTCCTTACCATTTGTGGGGATGGGGATGGGGATGGGGATGGGGATGGGGATGGGGATAGGGAGGGACTCCCTTGCCCCGTAGGGCCTCATTATCATCCCTAGTACTACCATGCACAAGCTACCACCAAGGAGCCGTTGGCCACAACTTGATAGATTTTTATCATTGGAGGGTAACCATCCCATCCAATTGCAGGATTACAACTATTACCAAACTCATACTAATCGTACCAAGTTGTACTGATTCTTTTTCTATTTCTGAGAGCTAGTAAAATAAAATATGTAGAGATTTGACCCTTTGATTGTTTTCAAGAGCCAATGTAATGAAGATGCGTAGAAATATGTAGCCTTTTGCTTGTTTCCAGAGGCTAAGCAAAATAGTAAGTTTGGCCCTTTGTAAATCATTAGGAGCTATATAGATGTAGTAGAATTAGCTCGTTATCTAGGAACTAATGATAAAGATATGTACAAGAAATGTCTGGCCCTTTATCTATCACCAAGAGCTATGTAAATGTGATAAAATCAACTAATTATCCTTTGATCAGAGCCATGTATATATAGCAAAATAGGCTCTTTATCCATTGTTGGGAGCCAATTATATCAACAAACATAGCAGTGGAGATCATGACCATAACAAAACGTCTAGCTATGTCTATGAGAGTGATATTGAAGTAGATCATGTTTGTAAAATTTCCAGTGAAGTAGATGAATGTCAGTTTTGGTGAAGCTGATTCTATTGTGGCCATTAGCAAGAAATAAAATATAATAGATCTAATGTAGAAGAAGATCATGTGGGCCCTTCGTAGTCACAAGTTTAGAGCCAGTCTTGTTGACGTAGCACTGCATATATTGTGAATTCCAAAGCAATATAAATTCATCCCTCAACAATTCCTTAACAAAGAATTTGCATTTAATTCATATCAATATAATTATTATTATTATTTAAAATTTCTTATTTTCTCTTAATTCACTTTACACCCTAAAATCCATTTAAATAAGTATTGTAATACTACAAGTTTATGCTTTTAAATTTACTACAAGTTTTGGGTAAAATTAGAATAAAAGTATTAAACATTATTTAAAATATAGAGAATGACAAGTTATTCAAAATCATAACAAGTAAAAGGGAATAGAGAGAGCAAATTGGATGTTGAAAAGATTACATGCCACAAGTAACCATCAAATGTTTTATTGCCTTATTATGTATATAGTTATATAAACCATATAGCGACATTAGTTGTTGGGATCACTTATTTTTTTAATATTGAATTACTTTTGGTGATAGGTTTTTGTTACTAATACCATGTTGGCTTCAAGTTTTCAATTTCCAAACCATGTTAAAATAGTTTATAGTTACCAATGCCTTGCCATTATATTATAAAACCCAAAAATTTGAAGAAAAAAGTTTCAAAAACATTTTAAAAATAATCCTTAAAAATTTTGAATATCTTTCAACACAAAGAGGAGGAAAAGGAGGAACTAATCCTTAAAATTACTTAGCACCACAACAAAGAGAGAAAGCTTTGAGGGGAGAGAAGAAAGAATGAGGGTAAATATTCAAGGCAATCAAACAAATTAACTCAACACTTTGAGTGAATTTTTTTTTTTTTTAATGTAAGTTTAGGGTATTAAAAGAAACTATAAGGTCTTAAATTGGATATAGTGAAGATGTTTGAGGGCTTACCACTCCACAAACCGATCCAAGTGTTTATTGCTATCTACTACTCACTCCACAACTGGGTCTTTACTGGGTTGGGCCTTTATATGAAAGTGCCAGTAACTCCCTACGCACATCCCACTTTCAGGAAGCCTTGGCCTTCTTTCTTTTAACAACAAACAAACAAAACCTCTGAAATGTGAATCACATTGCTTGACTTGAGGATTTGGGTTTCTTTAAGCATTTCACATTTCCGTTATTATTATTATTATTACCCCTTCTTCTTAGTAAAATCCAGGACTTTTAAAAAAAAAAAAAAAAAATTCTGGCCAAAATTTTCATATTCAGTAAGGTTAGTTTCATAGTTTGCGCTGAAAAAAAAAATCATTATAATTATTATTAGGAATTGAGAAAGATAAGCACATCTTGCTAATTGTTTGTGAAAAGACTCAAAATGCATTGTCTGTTTGGGAACGTGATATTTATGAAGTGTTTTTGAGTTTAAGCTTTTCAAATTCAATATCACCATCTTGTTTTCATTAAAATGTTGTGTAATTGAATTTAAGTCAAATACATATATTTTAAAATATCTTCTTATATATATATATATTCAATCTAAATAAAGAATTTTAAAATACATGTTAAATTGAAATTTGCATTTTCAAATGCAACATATAAATCAAAATGTAAAAAATATTCATTGAAAGATCTTTAAATGATTTTACAAATAATCATGGCGTTTACATCTACATTTTTTTTACTTTTCTCTTTATGTTATTAATATTATAGAGATATTTCAATGTGGGCAATGTTAAGCTCACACAAATAGTTGTTGGGGCCACATAAAATATAATATGTATGTTTAATTTGTCTAATTCAATTAATTTATAATTATTAAAGTGTTTAAAAATATTAATTTATAAATTAATTTTAAATTATTAAATAATAAAATATCGCTTGCTCTACTTACTATCAATTAATACATAGTTACATGCATCACACTCTCCTATGTGACCCAAGTGGTCACGTTTTTCTGTGTGAGAAGCAAGATGAGAAGTAAGGTGAAACACAATACATGATCATCA